CAAGCACGTGCTTGCTTTGCTGGTGCCTAGAGCCGCCCCTGCTGACCAAACCTAAACCCATTCATTGTCTCACTCATTAAATTACAGAGTTTGCAGTCTCCAGGATTGCATGTTGATTTTAAAATTCTTTTGCTCGTCTACATTCTTGGTGGGGGACACACATGTGATCTTCTGTCACTTTATATTCCTGGCTGCATCCCGTGGTCTTCTGCAGCTGGTTTATTCGCTGTCCAAAAATATTGGCTAGGAGATTTATCTTGTGTGTGCACGTGCGTGTGTTCATGTTCCTGCCAGCTGACATTTGAGCCAGTCACAAACTGTGATAAGCAGGAAAAGGGAAGCACTCAGCAAACACATGAAAATAATTTGCAGAGAAGTAGGAAGGGATATGCCTGTATGATCATCGCTGTTTGTTTTTTTTTATGTTCAGCAGTGAAAACCCCCAGTGTCCTGTGTGCATATGCCAATGGAGTTGTATTTTTAGAATCAGAGTATAATTCAGTTATAAATAAAGGACATGAGTTCCTGGATTATACATACCTGGGTACTGTATTTCCTACCTCAACAGGAACAAACAAACCTCAGCACATAAACAAACATGGGTTCTATTTAGCCCCATTACTGTGGAGTGTGAGCCCCCTATATAGACTTTTTTTTTTTAACCAGATCAGGTAGGAAGTAGTTCCAGGTTATTAATCCAAACATAATGCTGTTTAACAGATACAAGTTGTAGACGGATTTTCATTGCAGAATCTGCATTTTGTTTGATTTACCAACAGCATGTACGTAAGACACATTAGTTCTGTATACTGGTAGATCAGACTAGATTAAATTAGACTGTGGGTAACCTTTCTGTTCTCAGCAACAAGTGTTAATATAGTAATATTTTTTGAAAACATCTTTACAAGCTCCATTGTGCTTCGAATTTCACCTTTCTTAGCCTACTGATATCGTAATGACCTGAGAATGTTGTGAACCCAATGTTGTGAACGCCAAAGAGTTTTATTAGAGATGGGCTGAACTGACAAAATTTGGATCCAGATCCAGGTTTCATTCTCAAAGTTGATTTGTGGATTTAACCTGGCATCACTGTGATGTTACAGATAAGTCACCTTGCAGAGAGTCTATATTAAAAAGCAGTCTTTGAAATGTGTGTGTGTATGTACATTTTGTGTGTAGGATATAATTGTATGTGTTGTATCCAAAGGCCCTGAGCAATGTTCAGTTGGATATTCCTAACAGGTGACGGGGCCTCGTATATAAATGTGTGTGTGTGTGTGTGTGTGTGTGTGTGTATGTGTGTACATACACAGATATATATGTGTATATCTGCACACACGTATGGTGTGATATTGGCACAGTCACTATATGTGCTTGTGTGGGGGGAGAGAGATATTTGCATGTGTTATAAACGGAACATTACATAGACAATACAAATATATTTAATATTTGTCCAAAACCAAAGCTCTCACCCATGCTTTCCTCCCCTGATGCGTGCTTTGGAGACACCTGTTGTTACCGGAGCCACTCCATTGTGGGAGGCACATTCATTTTATTCCATAATTAGAGGGGCAGGCCCGTGCTGCCAGTTACATTCAGCCATACAGCATGCTTGTCTTAGTCCCTAATTCTGCAAGGTGATAACCTCCCTCAACTCCCACTAACTTCGTTTGGATTTGGGGAAGCCTAGGAGATGCTCAGTACTTTAGTGGATCTAGCCCTTACTATATTATAATGCCCATAATAAGGGCTGCTGTCTTTAAATTCCTAGCAGTAAATTCATAAAGTGTCTCATGTGTTAATGAAATCTCAAGATTAAAGCCAGAACCACTGTTAAGAGTACAGTAAATACATGTCCTGCTGTGTCTGGCTTACTACTGCTATAAGTTCTATCACATACATACACACTTTCTTTCTTTCTCACACACACCCCATCTTTTTCTCTGTTACTTTACAGAATAGAGTTTGCTGAAACCAAGTTAATATGTGAAGGTGAGATTCCTGTAGTAAGAAACTCTGCTTAGTGTTTCTAGTCACCAGGGCTGAGTGTCTGCAGCACCCAGTATATGTTTAAAGAGTTTAAAGCTCCAAACACAAGTCTTCCCAGAACAATTCTGAGTCAGTCCCAGTGCATCTGCTCCCTCTCACATGTCTGTGGGAGACCGGAAGTGTCCCCAACAAGCAGATGCTAGTTAAGGTCATTGCTCTGGTGACAGAATCTGCAATGTCCCAATATCACTGGGGAGATAAGTGTTTGTTTTTCAAGAGTTTATAAGACCACTGTCAGGAATTCTTGCCTTCTTTTCCACCCCCTTATCAGTGGCAAATCAATCAGGGTGATGATAGACAACATAGTCTCCATGTTCTATATCAGCAAGCAGGATCCCCCGCTCTGTGCTCCGAAGCCATGAAACTATATGGAATCGGTGCATAGCTCATCAGCTCCAAATTTCAGCAGTCTACCTCCCAGGCATACAGAACACCACAGCCAATGTCCTCAGCAGACACGTCTCCCAGGATTATGAATTGGGAGCTAGGCACCCAAATTCTCCACAGCATATTCCTAAAATGCGGACTGCCCTAGGTGGATGTCTTTGCTATCTCCAGGAATAGGAAGAGACCCCTTTTCGGTTCAAGAGCAGGTCTGGGCCACCACTCCTTAAGAGACACCTTCTTCTAGCTTGGAAGAAGGGTCTGTTCTATGTGTTTCTCCAACACCGCTGATACAGTGGGCTGGTCTACACTCGGGGGGGGGGGGGGAGGGGG